GCTGCACATTTGTCTCTCTCGTTCTTCCAGGGCGTCTCTGGAGTACGCCGAGAAACTGAGCTGCGGGCCGGAGAGCAGCTGAGCCCCAGCCGCGCAAAGCAAACTCCACTTGTAGGGAGCCCGTGAGCCACGGTGTGGGAGAATCGGTAGCACCCTGCCAGGCACAGCCCCCACAGTACGTGGAGACCTCGCCGCTTGCAAAAGTAAGCATGCTGCTGTCTCTGCCCAGAGCTGGTGCGAAGCATAAGCAGGGTGAGCGTGTCTACACCCACAGTGCTGGAGGTGTGAAGAGAATCCACACCCATGATACAGAGATCTCCCCTTCCTATAAAAAATAACCCTCGTGAGTACCATAAACAGGGCCCAATTAAGGTTATGAGGGACTAATGGGAGGGAAGGTCTTTAAGTATGACTCACATATTGCAAAAACATTGAAATAAGCATGTATCTACACAGCGATTTATATTTTATTTAGGTAAAAGCAAGTTCATTCTATGCTTACTACGCTCAGTTCTTCCAACAGATCTTTCTGAGTAAGAGGCAGAACAAGAGATGCTATGCTGTCCTTCTCTTAGTCTTCCTGCTTGCTAGGTAGTGGCATACTTATCTGCATGAGGATGAACACTGCATTCCCCTTTAGGCTCACCTCTCTCAATCATGTGCTTCTGCCCTCAGCTCTCCACATGACACAGTGCAAAGCCAACTTTTGCAGTTGATTTCCCCAAGCTATGGACTCTACCCCACAGATTCTGTTTCACTCTGACTGTAGTCCAAAAGGTAGCCGATTTATATTATGTAAAAGAAACCCACTCAGGTGTAAAATCCACTGAAGTAGAGGAAGTATAGTGGGAAAATTACTTTGGGACATTGTATTTTGGTCTGTTTTTTATCTGAAAGCTGCCTCCCAGTGTTGCACTGTTTGAGGACAATGAATTCCAGGAACTCAAATATTATTTGTGGAATGGTGCCCAGTTTGTCTAGTTGATCTCCAGTGATTTGTTATGTCATTTTGTCACCAAACTTTTCCGCATTAGAATCATGGGCTGCGGGTGAACATAGGGATAGGGGAGGCAAGCCCCGAGCACCACCTCCAGGTCTGCCCCTTCCACTGAGGCCCCGTCCCCCACGGGATCCAAGCTGCCTCCCCGCTCCACCCACCACAGGGGGACAGTAGGTTGAGAGCGCATGCGCCTCCCAGGCCTCAGAGCATGGGGAGGGTGGACAATGTGTGTATGCAGCCTTCCCGGCCCCAGTCTTTCCAGCCCTGGGAGAGCGGCGGGCACGTGTCCCAGCCTCCCCAGCCCTGGAGCACAGGGAGGGTGGGTGTGCATCTTCAGCCTCCCTGGTCCCAGAGTATGGGAAGGGTAGGCGGCACATGATTCCAGGAGCACTGGGACGGCGGGCTCAATACTCTGCCTTAGAACGCCTACGGTAGGTATTATGGGGGTGGAGTGAGAAATGGGGCCAGGCTGGCGGTTTGGGAAGGCAATGCCTTCCCCCATCTATTATACTGGACGGCCATGATTAGACTCTTAGGCTATGTCTAAACCACCTTCCTCTTCCAAAAGAAGAATGTAAATGAGTCCGATTGAAAATGCAAATGAAGTGTGGATTTACAAATCTCACATTCATTTGCATAATCACGTGAGAGAACTTTTTCGAAAAAGGACTTTTCGAAAAAGAAACCGCAGTCTGGATGACGGGGTTCTTTTGAAAAAAAACACCCTTTTTCGAAAGAACCCCTACTCATTTTTTCAGGAGTACAGGTTCTTTCAAAAAAGGTTTTTTTGTTTTGTTTTGTTTTTTTTTTCCAAAAGAACTCTGTCTAGACTGGTTTCTTTTTCGAAAAACCCTTTTTTGAAAAAGCACTCTCTCGTGATTATGCAAATGAAGCTTGAGATTTGTAAATCTGCCCTTCATTTGCATTTCGATCGGGCTCATTTACATTCCTCTTTCAGGAGAAGAATGTAGTTTTAGATGTGCCCTTAAAATAGAATCATGGACAGGAAGGGATCTTGAGAGACCATCTGGTCCAGTCCCCTGCACTTATGCCCGAACTAAGTATTATCTGTTCTAAAATGTGTGATCAGCAGTTCTGATATTGGGCTTTTTAAGCATGAGTTCTCTGGGTACCAACCCACTACGGTTTGCATTTGTTTGTTTTCAGTTTTCTGTAAGGAAGAGATAACAGCTAGAACGGACACATCTTTAGATGGTTATCCAATGCCCAGTTATAATATTTAACACTTGTCTACTATGTTATCTCTTCAGAATCCTTACATAAATACTAAGCAAACTTAATCTATAGCTTTTCAGCTTTTGACTAGGAGTTGACAAAAATATTTCTGTTTCCTGTTGTATTCCCTGCCCCCTCTGAAAAAAATACTTCATTGACTATTAGAATCTTAAAAAAAAAAAATCATTAAGAATCTTTCAAAAGAACAGCATATCTAGGGATGTTAAAACCATTAAATAAGATCAGTTAAATGATTACCTGCATTGATTCACTTCTTTCTGCTGCCCAGCCCCACCGTAACTGTGAGCTGCTTCAGCCCAGCGCAGGTGTCCACTGCCACATTTCGCAGGCAACTGCTGGTTAACTGGTATGCCAGTAAGCCTCATGCTTGCCAGTATGCTTATCGGTTAATCATTTAATATTTCTTAAATACAAACAAGGCTGCTGTAGTGGTATCCTTCTTAAATCAGGTCTTGTGTTTGTTTAAGGCTGGTGTAGAATGATCAAGCAGACATTGTTTAGGTTTTTTTTTCTTTAAAGTGCTCAGAATTTAGGGTAGGAAAGTGAATGAGATTCTGCTGTACTGCATGTGAAAAGCAGAAGGGACCAAAATCTATTCTGGTGCAAAAAACTGTTCCCTGTGAAGTCAATAAGGCTACAGTGTAAATGTCAGTAGCGATTGTCCTTTTTCTTCATTCTTTTCTCAAATCTACTATATATTTGAGAGAGTTTTGTTTGTGTGTGAGCAAGTCTGTCTGTTTGTTCGTTCAAGAACTCTTCTTAAACAGTGATAGAAATGTAGCCGTGTTAGTCTGGGGTAGTTGAAGCAAAATGCAGGACAATGTAGCACTTTAAAGACTAACAAGATGGTTTATTAGATGATGAGCTTTCGTGGGCCAGACCCACTTCCTCAGATCAAATAGTGGAAGAAAGTAGTCACAACCATATATACCAAAGGATACAATTAAAAAAAAGAACAAATATGAAAAGGACAAATCACATTGCAGAACAGAAGGAGGAGGCGGGGGGGTGGGAAGGGGGAGGAAGGAAGGTAAGTGTCTGTGAATTGATGATATTAGAGGTAGGGAGAGTGGGATGTTTGTGAGTTAATGGTATTACAGGTGATAATTGGGGAAACTGTCTTGATAATGGGTGAGAAAGTTCAAAGACTTGTTAAGTCCCTGGTGGTAAGTGTCGAATTTTAACATGAATGACAGTTCAGAGGAAGAAGGGAGGGTGAAGCTGCAGCTTCTCTGCTCCCCTCTGATTCCTACAGGAACATTGCTAGCTGTTCCCTTTCATCAGGGAGTGAGGAGAAAATGCAGTTTGCTCCATTCCTTAATCTGGTTGGGGGGTGCAGGATGATTCTAGACCTCTCCCACCTGGGGGATATGCACCCCTTCCCTGGCTGTGAGGTACTTTTATGATAGATTGAACTGCTAGAGACATTGTAGAAGGATAGAACCGTAGCCTGTTTAGCCAGTCTTTCTATCATAGTTTGTTAAGAAAGGGATTTAAAATCCTTTAAGGAGTGGAGAGGGAGAAACCTACAACACTGTCCGTTGAACTTCTTCCAGTGCATTTGCAACCTCTTAAAATACAAAGATGTATTAGCTTGTGACACTTCTTTTCCTGTGTATCCCAAGACAGAGAAATACATCAAAGAAAAAGATTGGCTTTCTGTGATTTTTAATACAGTTCAATTCATTGTTGAACCCAATGGGTTATAGATGTGAAGCCCTTTGGTGGAAAGTACTGTAAAAATTAAAGTATGGTATCCAGATGTTTTGTTTTTCCTACAAATGTTTGTTCCTTATACATGGGAGAGGCATAGTTCTGGCTGGAACTGGATAGAGCCGTGGTCCCCAACCCGGTGCCAGCGGGCGCCATAGCGCCCGCCGGGCCCTTTACATGCACTCGGAGAGCAATCTGGGCTTGCCCTGCCCCCGGGCGTGCGGCAGGTGCCAGCCTCGGGCGCATGGCCGGCCCCGGGTGCGCCGCACGTGCCCTTGCTGGCCCGGGCCCTG